AATATTTATTAGCCAAGCTCAGATGGTAAAGTAACAGGGCCCCAAACATCAGAATAAACAATATGGAAAGGAAAATCAGATTTATTATTTCTTGAAGGAAAATGATTTCTACAATGTTTGCTCAACTGACAAGTTTGACATTTGAACTCAGACACTGACACTGATTTAAATAAATCCGGAAGTAAGACTTTTAGCGACTCAAAAGATAAATGACTCAAACGACTATGCCATAAATAAACTTGTCTCATACTAGACTGACTCATAGACTCAATGGCCACAGAACTAGCTTTGTTCTCCAACATGTAGTGGCCATCCACCATACGACCTCTACCAATCATCTTCCCCGAGTCCAAATCCTGTACAACACAAGAAGAAGGGAAAAATGTCACTGAACAATTTAAAGAATCTATAATGCTACTAACAGAAAACAAGTTTCTAGGTAATTTCGGGACATGTAATGCATTAGAAAGGGTTAGTCCAAAAGGAAGGGTTATGGTTCCTTGACCAGCTATGGTGGAAAAAGAACCATTAGCTAATCTCACTTTGTCCCTACCAGATAAAAGTTGATAGGACTGAAAACAATTTGACTTAACCGTCATATGGTTTGAGGCTCCAGAGTCAATTATCCAAGGGGAGTTAGGTGAACGGGAAGACACATAGAAGGTTGTGGCAAGATTACCATTACCTGAAGTAGATGCAAAAGAAGTCGAGGCAGGAGGAGCAGAATTCATCTGGCAGATTGCTCTCCCATACAGATCCAAGTGGTCACGGAAAGAATTGATGACAGAGGCTCCTGGTGAATAGCAGTAGATGACAGAGGCTCCTGAGAGGCCAAGTTTGCTGTATTAAACCGTTTTTGACTTTGCTGTCCCAACTTTTTATTTTGATTTGATTTCTTACTCAGCTCTTGGACCCACTTTGGCTTTCCATGGAGGTCCCAGCAAGTATCTTGGGTATGTTTGGCCTTCTGGCAATGAGTACACTACAACTTATCCTTATCATCCACTCTCTTTTGGGAGTCACCCTTCTTAAAGGAATTATTGCTTCTTGCTCCTATACTCCCTTTAGCCACTAAGGCAATCTGCTCCCCCTCAGAGCTATTCATCACACTACGCCCACTCCCTTTGGACTGTACTAGAGCATACACTTCTTGCATTGAAGGAAGATCTTTACTTCCTAATATCTGAACTTTGAGGGACTCGTATATGGGGTTCAGCCTTAAGAGGAAGGCAAAGACCCGTTGTTGGGAAACCAGAGCCTTGTAGGCTTTAGCATCAGCATTACACTTCCAATCAATGTTCTGATAGTGATCTAGTTCCTTCCAGATTGAGGTCAAATCTGAATAGTAGGCTGAGAGGGTCCTCTCCCCTTGCTTACAAGTAGATGAGGCAACTTGCAACTGGTATATTTTGGCATAGTGGCGTTGCTCTGAATAGATAGATTTTGCCTTCTCCCAAATCTCAACAGCTGTTTCAGCCCACATGAAAGTCTTCCTGACTGGAGGCAACATAGACAGTAACAGCCATGACATCACCATGCTGTTTTCCTGATCCCACCTATCATGTTCTACCCCCTGAGACTTTGGTTCTTTAGTTTTACCATTAATATAGCCTACCTTTCCCCTGGCTGTTATGTATAGTTTGATTCCCCTTGACCATTCTAGGTAGTTAAGACCATCAAATGGTATCACAGTCATGGGAAAACTCATGTCAAATCCCCCACTCACTCCACCTTGACTTGGGGACCCACTAGACAGAATAGAATATTCAGAAGACATTCTAGGTAGTTCAGCCACTGTTCAATTTGAGTTCAGTTAGTTCAGTCACAATTCAATCGAAGTTCAAACTATAATTCAGTTCAGTCCCAGTTCAGTCAAAGTTCAAACCCTAATTCAGTTCAGCCACAGTTCAGTCAAGGTTCAGCTACAGTTACAGTTCAGTCCCCAATTCTACAGTTCAGTCACAGCCACAGTTAAGTTCAGTCAAGGTAGCCGGCCACTGTCTTATAGTTACAGGTCATTTTGACCTACACCACCCAGTTGACTGGGTAAAAAAAATCAGGATCACATGATCCAAAGTTCAAGGGAACTTAGCAGTTTCAGGTCATCTAGACCTCCAAAAAAAAACACTTACCTGGGTACAAGAGAGGATCACTCGATCCTCAGAAGATAGATTTATCTTCGCAGCATCAGATTCTTCCTTCCTTTTAAGGGTTTCTTGGCACACGGCCAAGGAAGAAGAAGAGAAGGTAAACGGAAACCCCTTCAGATCAGTCCGATCTGCTTCTTGATCAGATTCGATCCACAGCAAGAAGAGTCCAAAAAAAAAAGAAACCTTATCGCACTTTTTCTGATCTCAGAAGGCCCGCTCTGATACCATGTTTTCAGGCCTGAGATATCAGAGAAGGAGAGGAAGAGAGGGAGGAAGAAGAGGAAGAGAGAAGAACGTTTAGACTCAAAAACTTGGAGCTGGCGGCTCCATCTCTCTTTACTTTTTATATTAGGGCGACCCAACTTAAAATAAAAGTGGTGTGAAATTACAAGATTGCCCCTGCGGCACTAAAGAACAGAAAAATATAAAAAACTGCTAGGAGAATTAGCAGATTTCAACAGGGAACAATTGTATTTGGAGTTTACTAATAGAGACTTTGGATCCCTTGGACTGTATACTTAAAATAGCAGGGGGGGGGAAGAAAACAGTGGGTTTCTTGGGACCATTGGGGTGATTGGCACATTTCCCATTGCACATGTTTTGTTTTCTTTAATCACCAATTAATAAAGTTAGCAATTACCTATAAAAAAGCATATCTTCATCTCTGCTTCTCTTGTTTATGTGTATTGCTTCTTGATTGCTCAATTCTTTGCTCCGTACAACATTTATACCCCTTAGAACATATAGATGCAGGCTAGGGAAGTGATGCAATTGGGTAATATATATATATATTTAAAGATGAAATTGAAAACCAAAGAAATAAAAAAAATAGGGGGAGTATCGTTATAAGTACCAATACACCTCTGCCAATACACAGAGGTGTATCGATACTTTGAACCATGGGTTCAATACAGCAGTTAGCAATGTTTGCGTTGATTAAACCCTAACAAAATAGGAAGATAATAAAATGAAATTAGTATATAAATACATAAAATGAATATTCTAGTTTAATAATGTCTATTTTATAATTATAATAATGTCAAAAAATAAAAAATATAAAAGTATTTTATAACCCAGTGCAGAAAACGGCTTGGCGACTGGGCGAGGCGAGCCTCCAAGGGCACCTTGTTGCCTAGGTGCCTGCCTAGGCATCGCCTTGACAACTATGGCCTAAAGTTGGGCCACAAGGTGGGATCAAGAACTGAGACAAAAGTTAGTATAGAGAATTTGATTGACCCTTTAGTTGTCATAGGCCTCAATGGAATCTTGAAATATTTAATCTTTCTAGTGGTATTCATTAATTTATTTTTACATATCCTAAGTTTTGTTAGAGGATCATGATATATTCCTTAGACCTTTCTTCTTTTAAGCTAGTTTCTTACTTCTTTCATTGGCTTAGAGATTTAGGAAGCAATTATATGGCATGTTTTTCAAAAGAGACCTCATCATCCATGTAGCTTTCTCTTGACATTGCAGTGAAAAGAAGTAAATCCTCCTCCTTAGGTGCTTCTTTGTAATGTTACTCATTTCTTCTGTGGTGAGATTCCACTGAATCATCTATGTAAGTCAGATGATCCATATTAGTTCTACATGCTTCTTAACAGAACCAGCAAATCAATGGCTGGAACTCAAAGATTGTTTTCCAATGAATAGGGGGATAAACTTCTCAACATCTGGAGATTCTCAGTGATGAAACAAGTGAGTTTACTTATTTATGGGTATGATCAATAAGATTGAAGAAAAATTTTGTACTTAACATCTTTAGAATTCCAGACAACAACTCAAACTCATTGGTTAAGGAATGGTTATCATCTTATTTAGTATGTGCTGGTGTTTCAATGAATTTCTTTAGGACAGGAAGGAGAAACATCCTACTCATATGTATGCTTTGGGTAGAGTAATATAATAGCAGAATAGAATAGAACAGAGAAAGAAGAAGGTCACACCGTTGATAAAGAAAAGGGAAGATAAGTGCAGACCTCAAAATAACTCAGTTCAAATTCTTATTCCATGATCAAATTCTCTACTAGCTGTTTACAGAAAACATATTTATAGACTCTAAAGGTTGGGTCTGTCAGCCCTTACAATTGATCCCAAAGACATCTTTCTTAACTAGGACTCAAATTCCACTACTCACTGACACCTTTCCAACAGGATGATCATAACCTTCCTGATTCAAATGAAATTCAATAGATTTTAGTCTTATTGGATAGGTAACTGAAAACCTTTTCTAAAGACACAAAAAATCAGCCCGAATGGACATAGGCTGAAGAGGTGATGTGATTGCAACTTCAGTTTAAAAAAATTCTAAAAGCTCACTGATAAGACTATGAACCACTTTGATCCTTTAAGATGATTAATCCATTCTTACAATACCAATAAACTAGAAAATAAGTTTAAAAAAAATTAACTTTACCAAAATCCATATCACCCAAAGATTATAAAGTTGTTGCTGAAATAGGAATTTGGAGAAATTTGATTAATATGAAGTAATGGAAATAAACATAACAAGGTGAAAATTGTAGAAGTAATGATCAATGCAAATTTTATTGCACAGTATCATCCCCATGAACAATAAAAAAAAAGATAATATCATCACCATGCTAGGTTTACTCTTCTACCTTTTGCTTAGTGAGAAAAAGTTTGCCTTTCTACTTTGTTCTTTATATTTGTTTTTATTAATGAGTCTTTAGGCCCTGATATAGATACAAACAATATTTTTTCCATTGGACATTTATCATCCATCTATATATCTTCTCCAGTTATGTGGATTTTATGTTACTGTTTTGCTATATTTCTAACTGGGACTTGGTTCAGTGGGTATAATTTATTCTTTCTGGGATTTTGCAGGGGAACTATTCTTCATCTCAGATAGAAAAAGTGGATTCTGGAATCTCTATAAATGGGTATATGGACATCCCACTGAATGGCATGCTTTATAAAAATGATCCTTTATGGTTATAAAATGATCCTTTATGGACATCCCCTGAATGACATGCATCTTATTCTTATGTGGCTTTGGTGTTCATACTGGTTGGAGTAAATCAAGGACATAGTTGAAACCTGGTGATAATACCTGTATGAAACCCTAGGAAATGTTATTCTTGATTTTAAATGGTTTAATGTTCCACTTAGTATATTCTTTATTTGTAGGTAAGACTTAAATGCTTAGTAATTGCCTGTATTTGGATGCCATAGTTTGGATCTATCTCAAACTTTTATTTCCTTTACAATAATTTGCTATTAATGAATGGACACAAGCATAGGTGATCTTATTTTAAACTCAACTAGGTCTTTTACTTTTATTTATATTATGTCACAGATTGAACACACGGATGAAGTGCTAGTAGTGTATTCCCTGGATGCGGAGTTCACAAGGCCACTGTGGGTTTTTGGCATCAATTCCTATGATTTTATTCATAGCCCTCGAGAAAACAATTTAATTGCATGCAGCTACAGGTCTCCCAGAGAAACTTGTTTTTTACAGAGTTCCAGTTCCATATGCAATACAATTGTAGAATGCAAATCTATAGTTAGTGTTAAATTCCATATAATTATCATTTAGAATGCTTGCAGGAAAAATGGGAGGTCATTTCTTGGAATTATAGATGATGTCAAGAACTCCATATCCATCCTTGACATACCCTTCACTGACATAAATAATATTGTATGTAAAGAACATTTTTTATCACACTATTGTATATATATATTGTGAAACTATACTAGTTACATCAAACTCAATGATGGTCTATTTAAATCCATGATTTTCTTTGCAGATTTCATGGTACCACTACTTATACATTGAAGGAACATCAGCAATTCATCCATTATCAGTGGCAAAGGTATATTGCTGCATCATTTCCAGTATATTTTGAAAACTTCTTTGGGATAAATATTTGGAAAATGTTGGATAATACCATCTTTAAGCTTGATGGTCTAACATGCTGTACGGGATAATCTTCTTTCTGGGTTAGCAGGTGACATTAGATGAGAGTAAACCAAGAGCAGTTAATTTCTCAATTTTTTGGTCTGCTTCTCCAGACAGTACAAAATATAAATCATATTTTAGCATACCAGAGTTGATAGAATTTCCAACAGGATTTGCGGGTCAAAGTGCCTATGCATATTTTTATCCTCCATCCAATCCTTGTTATCAAGCCAGTCAAGAGGAGAAGCCTCCATTGTTACTGAAAAGCCATGGTATATTATCTCTATTTCTGTAGACTAGAATGCTTCTTTCCTATTAATATTTCTTTGCTAATTCTAGAAAAAGTGGATGTTTCTTCAATGGTGCTGTGCTGTGAATACAACTCAATGTGGTTTTAAGGTGTTCTATGTATTCATGATTAAACAAAACACAGTAGTCTGAAATTTCCAATATACACCCAGAAAATGGATGCTTTCTGAAATTTTACTTTTGATAATTAGACAGAAGTCAATCATGTAATTGAAATCAAGAAATAAAAAGATTAAATGGCAACCCCTAAAACGAAAGTGTGTTATAATGTGGCCATTGCAATCTCTAATAACTCTCCCAATACCTGATGGTTCAGGATTGCCTAAACTGCACCCATCAAAGTGTGTTATAAGCATTAATTTGTGGAGCCTATTGGACTAATCTGTTTGGATTTGGTTTAGCAGAATCAGTTATCTATTGCCATCTTCTAATTATATTAGGGTTAGGTAGACTTCAAGAGAAAAATGAGGCTGTATTGGGTAAATGGCTATGGAGGTTCCCCAAAGAAAGGGAAGCCTTGTAGCACTTGGTTATTAAGAGCATTCATGTGTTGCACCCTAATGGGTGGGATTTGAGATTGGCTAGAAATGCTAGAACAAAAAATCCCTTGGAAAACAATTTTGACTTTACTTCTTACTTTCCTACAACATGTAAGGTATGATGCTATTTTTTGGACCGGGGGGTGTTTGAAATTTTGGGAAGATACTTGGTGAGGGAGGTCTCCTCTCTGCCATTCCTTTCCAAAAAGCTTCAATTTATCCTAGGCTAAAAACAAACCCATAGCTGATGCGATTTCCTTTGGTGAGACGGGGCTGGTTTGGGATTTAGGTTTGAGGAGGCCTTTGAGAGATACTGAAACTGCTGAGCTGATTCCATTACTCAACACGCTTCAAGTTGTAATTTTGGCTCCTTCTTGGTTGGATGAGAGACTGTGGACCCCAAATGCAAATGGCATTTTTACTTGTGCATCCTTTTTCAATGCCTAATTCCTTCAGTTGATAACCCAACCTTTCCTGCTAAAGAACTATGGTCAAGCTGATTTCCCCTAAGGTGAACATTTTTTTTGGGAGACAGCCAAGCAAATCATAAACACTTATGAGAGAYTCGAAAGAAAGTGGAAAAGCTGGTCAATTTCCCTTCATGTATGTGTTCTTTTTCTAAAGAATGTTCTTTGGTGCAGACTCCATTGGTAGTAGGGATGTATAAGTTGAATTTTAATAGGTGCTGTTTGGTCAAACTGAATGCCTGAAGTGGGTGGTGTGGTGAAGGACAGTAAAGGCAATACCATCCTCAGATATTTGAGTTCAATTGGGGAAGGAAATTCCCTGAGAGCAGAGTTATTGGCTCTAAATATTTGTCAGTCTTCAAAATTCCAGTGAGTGTGAGCAAAAAATTGGGGGTGACTATGGGGGATTTCTTGTGGGAGCCAGGGGAGGAAAAAAGAGATCATAGAATAAGCTGGGAAATAGTGTGCAGGGGGCTTGGGATTAGGGAATGTACAAAAAAGGAATATGGCGTTGTTAGGAAAGTGGCTCTGGAGACTGCCTCAAAATAGGGACAAATTGTGGACAAAGGTGATGATAAGTATTCATGGGCTCTTGGATAATGGATGGGATGCTGGTGTGCTGCCTAGGGAAAACCAATCCTCACCTTGGAAAGCCATTAGTGCAATCTTACCTCTCTTCCTTCCTTCCATCAGATACAACCTTTGTAATGGTAATAATGTTAAATTTTGGGAACATATCTGGCTGGGAGACTCTCCTTTATAGGACCAATTTCCCTATCTCTTTGCCCTCTCAAACTTTAAAAATGAGCCAATTTCTAAGTTCCTTGTCCAATCTCCACCTTCACTCAATGGGGTTAATTGGGACTTGGGTTTCCAGAGGGATATTCAAGACTCGGAATCTCAGTGTCTTCTTATCCTCTTATAGTTATTGGACGGAGTTTTCATTGAACCTTCAAGACCTGATAGCTGAGTTTGGACTTGTATGCCATCGGGGCCCTTCTCATGCGCCTCCTTCTCCGGCAAAAGGGGTGTGGTGCAAAGCTGTTCCAGCTAGGGTTGCTGCCTTTTGTTGGGAAGTGGCTCATGGAGAGATCAATATTCTTGGCCTACTCCAAAGAAAGCAGCCAAATTGGTGGTTATCCCCTTATTGGTGTGTATTGTGTAAGGCCAATGGTAAGAGTTGCCTCCACCTTTTTATCTCTTGTTCCTTCATTACTTCTATTTGGAATTGGTGCTTTTCTCTTTTTGGGTGCAGGTGGAATCCTCTGGCAGATGTTCAAAGCCTATTTGACACAACTACCTTTAGATGGCCAACAAAGAGAGGGAGGTTAATATGGGACTGCATTAGATTGCTGTTCTTTAG